CTAGAATGTTGGGTAAATTGTGACCATGGCAGGTAAATTGTAACCATAGAAGGTACATTTTAACCATAGCAGGTAAATTGTGACCAAGGCGGGTAAGTTGTGACCTTGCTGGTTAAGTTGTGACCATGGCAGGTAAGTTGTGATCATGGCAGGTAAGTGTTACCATGGCAGGAATGTTGTGACCATGGCAGGTAAGTTGTGACCACAGCAAGTAAATTGTGACCATGGCAGGTAAATTGTGACCACAGCAGGTGAGTTGTGATCACGGTACATTAATTGTGACCACAAATTGTAAGCACTGCAGGTGAATTGTTACCACGGCAGGTGAATTGTGACCATGGCAGGTAAATTGTGACCACAGCAGGTAAATTCTGACCATGGCAGGTAAATTGTGACCATGGCAGGTAAATTGTGACCATGGCAGGTAAATTGTAACCATGGCAGGTAAATTGTAACCATGGCAGGAAAATTGTAACCATGGTAGGTAAATTGTAACCATGGCAGGTAAATTGTAACCATGGCAGGTAAATTGTAACCATGGCAGGAAAATTGTAACCATGGTAGGTAAATTGTGACCACAGCAGGTAAATTTGACCATGGCAGGTAAATTGTAACCATGGCAAGTAAATTGTGACCATGGCAGGTATATTGTGACAACTGCAGATAAATTGTAACCATGGCAGGTATATTGTAACCATGGCAGGTAAATTGTGACCATGGCAGGTATATTGTAACCATGGCAGGTAAATTGTAACCATGGCAGGTAAATTGTGACCACAGCAGGTAAATTTGACCATGGCAGGTAAATTGTAACCATGGCAAGTAAATTGTGACCATGGCAGGTATATTGTGACCATGGCAGGTAAGTTGTGACCATGGCAGGTATATTGTAACCATGGCAGGTAAATTGTAACCATGGCAGGTAAATTGTGACCACGGTAGGTAAATTGTGACCATGGCAGGTAAATTGTAACCATGGCAAGTAAATTGTGACCATGGCAGGTATATTGTGACCATGGCAGGTATATTGTAACCATGGCAGGTAAATTGTAACCATGGCAGGTAAATTGTAACCATGGCAGATAAATTGTGACCACGGTAGGTAAATTGTGAGCACAGCAGGTAAGTTGTGACCATGGCAGGTAAATTGTAACCATGGCAGGTAAATTGTAACCATGGAAGGTAAATTGTAACCATGGCAGGTAAATTGTAACCATGGCAGGTAAATTGTAACCATGGCAGGTAAGTTGTGACCATGGCAGGTAAATTGTAACCATGGCAGGTAAATTGTAACCATGGCAGGTAAATTGTAACCATGGCAGGTAAATTGTGCCCACATCAGGTAAATTGTAACCATGGCAGGTAAATTGTAACCATGGCAGGTAAATTGTGCCCATGGGCATCAGGTAAATTGTGAGCACAGCAGGTAAATTGTGACTACAGCAGGTAAATTGTGCCCACATCAGGTAAATTGTAACCACATCAGGTAAATTGTGACCATGGCAGGTATATTGTGACAACTGCAGGTAAATTGTGACCATAGCAGGTAAATTGTAACCATGGCAGGTAAATTGTAACCATGGCAGGTAAATTGTAACCATGGCAGGTAAATTGTAACCATGGCAGGAAAATTGTAACCATGGTAGATAAATTGTGAGCACAGCAGGTACGTTTAGAATGCAATTGGTTCTGAATGTAGAATACATGTACAGACACAAATCCACATAAAAATCATTATATCACAAAAGTTGAAAATAGCATTTTCATCAAAAATGACAAAAACATTAATTAAAGATGTCAGCACAGAATCTGTTAACGCTCAACCCAAGGTACCTACATACCAGGTATTAAAGCAATTGAATTGGTAGTTTTCAAGAAGAAGTTGAAAATACTGGTAGCTCATATTTTTGTCATTTTTAGTAAAGATAGTAAAGATATCGTCACAAAATGAAAAAAATTGGGTCCACCCAATGTATCTAGCAACAAAGCAATTGAGCTGGCAGTTTTCAAGAAGATGTTACAAAAAATGACAAAAGTATTTGCCTAAAATAGAGAATTAAAGATATCACCACTAAATAAACAAATCTGAGAGAGGTCAACTCATACCAAGTATAGAAATAGAATTTTTGATGGACGATGAACAATAACGGACAATCAACTATATGAACAGCTCCCTCTGTCATCTATTTTTGAAAGGTGTTCTGATATTCTATTTTTTGCTGTAATATAAATGTACTTTGATAATGCGTAGTTAGCTAGCGGAATTAAAATAGACATCATTTATTGTCATTGCTAATTAATATTCTTTTGTTCGTGCTTGTGCAAGACAAACATGAACACGAATTAGTCAGTTGTCACCCAGCTCCCAGCCAAAGCAGTGGCATGCATTGCAGTTCAGCTCCAGTGCAGTGTCGACGTGACAGCTAGCACATGCCTCAAGATTATGCCTGTCCAATTCAGGGTGTGGGACTAATAGATACGAGACAACCTCCTTTGGTTCTATGCTGTAAAACCAATATTAAAGACCTATGTTTCGCCAGAAAGTGTGGTTTGCTGATCTTGGTCCTTTCTATGCATGAACAGTATGGAAGTCCCGTAACATTAAGGTCAGTGTTGTGTAGTTTGCATTCCTTGAGGCCTTGTCGTTTAAAGCTGTAGAAATTGTTTTGTCGTTGATGTTACTGCGAATGACTGTACTCTTGCTGGAACTACACAGTAGTTTGCACCTAGATAGGGTAGGCAATTCCAAGCTGGGCTATTATCATTAATATTAGTACTATTGTGATGTATATTTCTGACCGGTTTGTGATTTATATTACTCTCGTTAATGATTTATGCTTATTGTATTATTAAATTAGTATTATTTGACATATTCTGGTTGTGTGCCTCTGTTTGACCTTTAGTGTTGCATCCTGTATTGGTGCCCAGGTTCGCTGGACACTATCTTGTATTCCTGTTTGTAACAAAGTGTCAGAATAAAACTGAATCTATATAATTGTTTTTCTATGTTTGTGATCGAGGTTGTATGCAATGAATTCTTATGGAAATTTTGACAATTTGAGAAACTAATTTCATGAACCAATGGTTATGCAAATTGAGTTTGAGAAGTGTGGCAGGTTGGAAGGGTAAACGAGAGGTGTGCATCTGACTGCTATGGGCAAGTTAGTGAAAAGGCAAGCCAGTTAACCAAGTATTCGACGAGTCGACAAACTGACTTCTGACAAGAATATTGCATAGGTTCTGGCGAGAGTTTTATAACTGAGTTTATGTAATTTCCTTTGTTGTAATGTGCAACAAGTAAGAACTGTAATGTCATCCACGTGAACACATGCTTGAATAATTACGCGAGTATATTACGGTTGCGTGGGACTGTTACGGAATGCAACACACTGCCTGAGGGTTAACTGAGAGGAGTGCTACAACTACTGCTCGTGGGATTGCCATATTTGGATTAATTACTGTTTCATTGCTGTCAGAATTTTAGAATTAACGACTGTGTATCACAATTGTGCCGTTATAAGGCATTTGTCTTCGTCACATATATCCGCGTACTCAGACAGTAAATCCTCACGTGTGGCCTTTGAACGAAATCGTACTATATGGTATTGTTTCGTTTTGTGTATTAAATGTCATATGCAATTGTCTTAGATATGCCTCATAATCTAGTGTCTATTCATTTATACGTCTGGCGTTAGTTCGATTTCAGCCTTCACAAAGGTAAACTGAATATGGAATGCAGTATTTACCACCTTTTACAGTTGTTAACAGGTGATTGTCTTTGCATGCACAACATTTTCATGGCAATCAATATCCATGCTGTATTATATCAATTTGATTATCGATATTCGGGAAAAGTCAAACAATGATCAAAAACCAAGTTTTATGACTATACAGCCAATTTGGATCACTTGTAAATTTAGTCATTAATAGACCAGATGTCTTATGTTAGTTCATTCCAGAATTTGGAAGCTGCAGCTGAGAAAGCCCTCTTGTCGTAGTATTAAGTTCTTGAACAGGGTCCTTCAGTTTAGAAGGGCAATTTGAACACTAGATGAAGATGTATATGGAGCAATGAGATCAGTAACATAAGCATGGGCAAGGTTATTATATGTATATAATTTGTTTATGAACTGGTAACCAATGAAGTTGACACAGGAGCAAGTATATGTTGATTATGCTTCCTACATGTAATAAGTCTGGCAGTAGAATTCTAGATATGTTGCAGTAGTTCAAACTGGTATGATGGTGACCCGTAGAACAATGAGTTGCTATTGTCTAAACTTGATGTAACAAATGAGTAGATTAAGCTTTGATTTTTGGTCTAGATATTGGCGAATTTTCCCAATTTTGTTGACATGCTGTTTTAATTCATAATGATGTCAATGTCAGATGTCAATGATGCATTTCTTCCATTATGCTTGGATGATTTCAGTTTGTGTAGAGGATTGCCAGTATTTACTGAGCGGGGATATAACATTGAGTGTCATCTGCATAAATCATATGATGTATGTAACATTGGTAGTTGATTGGAAATTCCACGACTACCATTACTAGCGAAAATTCAACTGAATGCAATCATATACTACCAAAATATTACAAAGAATGGCCCAATCAGTATAGTATATGATGCAGTAAAATGAATCTGCATAAAATAAAACAACTGTATGATATTAAGAATTTAGAAACAATTAAGAAAGACCAGTTTAAAAAAAAAAAGTGAATAAATATTACAATTATAAATGGAACCAAGATAATCAAAGACCGGATTCAAAACTAAGAATTTTACTGAAGAAAAATATAAATACTGAACCATACATTAAAATCCTTGATAATAAAGAAAACATCGGTCTATTAGCAAAATTGAGACTGAGTGCCCATAAACTAAACATCGAGATGGGAAGGCATAAAAGACCAAAAATAAAAACAGAGGACAGAAAATGTGCTACGGTAAATGCAACCTACTTGAGGATGATTACACTTTATAAATCAAATTAGATATGTAATTCATTCTATAAGGTTGTAATAAAAAATTATCCTGACTGGACGCATCTGCAGGCCCTACGTTGGAGTGAAAACCAGAGCGGAACCACTCCGGTGATTATGCTAATTAAAAAATGTTGAGTAGCACTGGCAGACGAATCAGAGTGCAGCTGTATACATCATATCTTATCTATGTTAATGTATGTGACCTTTCACTTCTGAGGTCCCGGCGATTTTGAAAGACTACTTATATACATTGGACATTTAAATCGACTGGTTTTCAGTAAACATGGATGAAAGTATGGGCTTTGCACTTAGAAAGTTAAAGTATCCATCTCTGCGATCGAATCGAATCAACCTTTAAAAGGTCGTGTTTACTTTAAGACGCCCACTCATGAATAATCAATGAATTCATGAATAATTAATAGCAGTCACACGCCCGCAGATGCGTCCAGTCGGGATTTCTTTAACAATCAGGTTATTTTTCGCGATCAGGACTAAAAGGATGCCCAAGGAAGCGAAAAAGAGTCAGAAAACATATTTTCAATGATGACAACTTGTTTGCAGTTCTGCACTGCAGAGCAGTTCCACTGATTCCATATACATGTATATTGTGCAGTCATTGGAACAGAATGAAATGATGGATGATGTCAATGCTACACTATAGTATAACAAAACTAGAACAGCCTCTCTTTGTCAAGAGCTAGTGCATATGTGAGGGCATATGTATCAGATAAGGTATTGTGTTAGTATGTATAAAGTGTAAAGTATGTGCTAGGTTTGAAGAAAATTGATCAAAGGGTATCTGAGATAAGGCTCTGGATTCACACATTTATGCACACAGAGACTAAATAAACTAAATAAAGTTCTCGTTTGGATGAATGAATGCTCATATGTGATATGATGTATAATATGTGAAGTGTGATCATTATTAGTCAAGACCTGTCTTATATACAGGTGCAGATGCATGGACGCAATCATGTAATAATTTACCATATACCGTACTCGACCGCATTAGCGCCCAGGGGCCTCAACTCAGAAAATCACGATTTTTTAGGTATATAAATAACAGGTCAAAAGTGTGGTTACTGATATACTTATATAATAGTGAATGCGGTCAGCTGCAATAGTAAATATTGTATCTGGCAACTCACCTGGAGTAATAAATGATGTTTCTGCCTCTGTTTCTGGTTCTTCATGAACTAGATGTAAAAATAAAATTATATTTTAAGGATAAGATTCATGTTTTATGTACATTTAGTGAATAAATTAAGAGAGAGCAGAATGGTGTATGTACCTAGTGGTGGAGGTATAGCTTGTAGTTCAACTGGTTCCTCATCCTAATATAAAGAATAAACAGACATTATAGCATGTCAAAACATAGCATAACTATTAAAACCTTGTCCAATGAGAATCTAGAATAAATAACAAACGAATGGTCGGATACAAACTAACAATTCAGTATCTTTATGTGCATAGCATGACTATAAGTCCTGAAACAATGCAATAATATATCTCATATATCTAAAATTCAAAAAATATTGGCTAAAATTTAATTGGAAACAATTCTCATAAAAAAAAAACAGACAGGACCAACAAAGACATCATAATTACATAACCAAATTAATTAATATTCATGTTCCTTAAATAATACTACATGTACTGTCTTATTCTTAATGCCTTTATAAAATAATACAACAAAAAGTAGTAGTGCAGCAACATACCTTGGCAAGAAAAATACTATGTGTTCTCTAATTAATACTACATGTACTGTTCTAATCTGAATGTTCTTCATAGAATTATATAACTTGGATTGTATAAAAGATTTGAGGTTCCCAAATAATTGTGCAGTAATAAAGTAATAAACAAGCAGCCTCTCGGCTGAGATAGCTCCACTGTTAGCAATACACATTTCAATTAAAGAACAGAAGATATCATTAGAAAA